AGTTCTCCAAGCAGAAGTGCTACTTATCTATCTACAGTGCCTTGTTTCCCGAAATCTACCCGACACCAAGCCTCGAATTCACTGAATCAAATCTGTTACAGGTTTTGGAGTTTTTGAAGTAGAGTAGTGAATTGTGCTTGGCCTCGCCACCAGATGGTTGACCCATAGTCTGCGATACTTGTAGGTTGGGGAGGTTGAGTGTGAATTCTTCTGTGTCCTTTGAATTGGTCCAGTGTATGAGTTCTGTTTTATCGAGGTCGAAGGCAATGCTGTTCTCATTTGCTAGCCGGTAGAGTTTCGTGGCTTCTGCTTTTAGTCTTTTAATGTTGTTTTTGAGGTGGCGGGAGGCTGTTGTAAGGGAAATATCGTCGACGTAGGAGATCCATGTAATTGTAGTAGACTTGAAAAGGTCGCGAATGTAGATGAGAAACAGGATTGGAGATACAGGGCTGCCTTGTGGTACCCCAGAGTTGTTAGGTGAGAACTCCTGGATTTGACCGTCAAAAGCGAGTCGTAGCCTACGTTGGTTGAGGAATGTTGATACCCATGCAGGACACTTTGGTATAACTGGCACAAATACACATTTATTCATTAATTCATTTTTCCGGTTTCTAAAGTGTTATAGAGTATGGGATATGATTACGTAAGTGGTCTTATTTACTCCTTACTTCGTGACTTCCCTAAACCGGTAGGTAGAACGTCCTCATCAGGTTCAGCTACTGAATTAGCCTTAGTACTCTCGTTTAATTAGCGAGAGTACTTAGGCCAAACCGAATTAGGACGTTATGCTACCGGTTTTGGGGGAGTTACGGAGTATGGGATAGGGAGTACAGTCTTTTGACTCTTTTTAGACGTCTACCCCGCACGCTCGAATATAATAGACTTTGCTCGTAGCTAACGTTCTCGCGTCCCTACTGTGGAGGGAGTCTGGAATATAACTTGGACGGTGTATATAGATTGGAAATAAGCAGTTTGCAGACGCTCTTCGGTACTTGGTACCATAGACATCAAATGACATTATAGCTTAATGCTTATTAGTACTATAAGCCGCCTATAATACGTAATTATTAACTTTGGCCAAAATAAATATATTATGTTGTAGCCTTATTTCGACATAGTAACTCTTACTCGTTTTGACTCTCGTACTAGCTGAAAGAGAAAGTGTTAATTCAGGAGTGTTTTTGTCTATATAGGTAAGGTGTACGTTCCTCTATAACTAGAAATTCAGTCTCTTCGCCACCTAATTCGATATACTCACCAGTATCTACAATCTCCTCATCTACCTCACATTTATCCCATCTAAATCAAATCCTACTTTTCAGCTCCGCCTTCAACCCAACAACCCACCAAGAAAAATTCACACCCCTCCATCCCACGTGCCAAAATGCGTTTCTCCACTCTCCCCATCCTCTTAGTCGCCGCACTCACCACCCGTGTCCTCGCCGGCAAGCACCACAGGGGATTATGCTTCGACGGCGACTCCCCCAACGCCGACAAGGGCAGCAAGGCGTGCGAGGCGTACAAAACTACCGGGGGCGACAATTGTGTTAATTCTTATTGGAAGGACGACTACAGCGTCCAAGGGGATGAAGAGTGCTACAGTCAAGCGGGAGATATTGAGGATGATGCGTGGAATAAGATTTGTCAGCTATACAAGGCTTCGAGCGGTAAAACTGCGTAGATGGAGGGACTGTAAACTTCTTTGTTGCTTTGGAGGATTTGGGGGCGGTGGGGAAGGAAGGGATGGATTTTGTTGTGGATGATGTACTGATTGTGTGGGTGGGTGATGTGGGATGAGTTGAGATGGGTTGTGATTTGTTTTTTTTTTCTAAGAGAAGAGAGGATTCTTCTATTTCGACCTTCTGTAATACCTCCTATAGGTTACTAACCGTCGAAGTTCGCTCGTTAGAACAGTTATATTTGTAAACATATACTATTCTTGAAAGAGTTGTATTTTTATTATACGTTTATCGGCAAAAAATAGACTTATTTACCGCTTAAGCGAGCCCTTTAATATTACTCAATTTAGACTTTTAGTAGTAAACTCTACTAGAAAAGTAGTTCAGGGCTAAACCCCAATCTTTTCAAACTTATATATTAGAGTTATCTGAGACTTACGTTTTTAAAATAGAATCTATAAGTTATAAAAAGAGAATAATTTCTAAGAATAAAGAGTTATTTAAATATACTTTTAAATAAAGGTTAAAAGAAAGATTTAGCTAACTAAAAATTATGATAATTAATAGCTTAGTATTACGAAGTTGTTAGAATTAATCTAAACCCATATGTTATTATAATTCTACACGAGGGTAGTTAGTCCTAGTCGAGGTTTACGCCGGCCGGTATAGGAAATAAGGGAATTTTCTTTTAAGGAAGAAAAGAGTAAAAGTACTTTATTCTTCCTAAGATACCTAAGAAATTGTATGAATAATTGTTGTTCAAATACGTTTATCCACGTAGATGTCTGAGATACCTCTTGGGCAGGGGGGGCAGGGGGGAAAGGGGGAGAGGGGCGGCGGAGTTACTAGCCCCGTTAGCTTAGGCATGTTTGGGGGCGGATCACCAACAGCGCCAACAATTATTTGTAGGCCCCTCTATCATCATTTTTTTCTCTCANGGAGAGGGGCGGCGGAGTTACTAGCCCCGTTAGCTTAGGCATGTTTGGGGGCGGATCACCAACAGCGCCAACAATTATTTGTAGGCCCCTCTATCATCATTTTTTTCTCTCAGAGATCAAATTGCTCCAAAATGTATTTAATTCTCATATCCAACGAAATACTTCATCAGATCTTCTCTCTCTCGACGATCCTTTCCCCACAAGATGTTTTCAATATCGTTGTCACTTGTCGACGCCTTAGTGAAGCCGCATTGCCAGCCTTATATCAGAATCTTGTCTTCAGGGACCCTTGGTACGGAGTTTTTCTTGAACGCTCAAAGTCGGACCTAGCTCTATATAACGAAGCCCTGCTACTGTGTCCCGAAAACGCCTCTGAGAAATGTCTTTGGCTCGCACCGCCGAATTTTAGTGGAACCATAGCAACACCACTATGTGGAACGAAATTCAAACTCTTACATAACTTTCGCAACCTCAGAAGCCTCTCACTTCATTCCTCGATTTGGAAAGATGGTCCTGCAGCTCAAGCAATCTTGGGTCAATACGCTCCAGATGAATATTCCGAAGTTTGTAATATGGAAAGTCTTTTGAGGAATTGTTAAAATTTGTCATCCCTGCAAAGTATCACCATAGAAGACCGCGTTATAAAAGCAAAAGACATTGCCTTTATTATGGAACTTCCTGGACTCCGAGATTTGACGATCAAACAGTTCACTAGGTGGAAGCCGAAAGGTGGAGAGATGGTCTGGCTTGAACCTGAACCGGTGAAACCATCCGCGCTCAAAACATTAAACATCCACTCTCTCTCTTTTCCACTTGGACGAGACGTCGAGTATCTCCTTCAAGGGCTTTCATATCTTCAACATTTCAGCTGGATCATTGATGGTCGACCTGAAGACCACGACGGAATTTGGGAAATTGGTTCTCATGTACAAATCGGTGTCACAGAATTAATCAGCCGGGGTTTACTACCATTGTCGACCTGGCTCCTGGAGCTCAATCTCCTGATTTCAAATTACTCAAGAAACTTCCCTTTTCTCGACAGTAGATGCATTAGCACTTTGGACTTTAGACAATACTCCCGGTTGAGGATTCTGAGAATTCAAGCCGATTTTCTCTTTCAATTGTGGGACGACCGAGATGGATTCATTCGACAGCTACCTTACTCACTTGAAGGACTTCTGGCGAGTCTCTCTCCTTTTTCCGATTCCCGAACGAAAATATCAATGGATCGCTCAGGCCTCGTTGGATTTGTTTGTTGTTTGGAATGAACTAACGTCTGAAACCCTGCTAGATATTCTTTAATTACGGCGAAAATTCTAATACTCTCATGGTCGACAAAAACAGCCCTCCAGATTACGATTGGTTTCTACCACTAGCACAATATAAAGAAACGAACTTACCACGGCTATCGAGAGTCAAGATTCAGGATTCACTTCGATGGTGGGGTTTTGATCTTGTGTCACCTGGATATCCAGAACATATATCGAAGTCCTTTGAACATGCAGAGATTTTGCTCAAAGTGGTCATCAATGTGCCAAACCTTGCTGAGCAGGAACCTTTTATCAATTATACCGGACCATTTCTTGCGGATCCCAATTTATCAGCTGAAGATGAACAAATGATACTCTGTCAGAACAATGCGAGGAGGCGAGAGTTTATCTTGAGACAGGCTGTGGAAGATCATTGTTATCAATTCTAAATATATAAGAAAACTTCAAATAATAGAGCCCCAAACTCAAGAGCAACCGAACCCCTTGTGAGTCTCCGAAGGGGGTTGTCTATTCCTTGCGCTAAAGCTCATCATTCTTTCGTGGGTGGTGTATCAGGTAGCGCTGGACCAGACGGTGGGCCATCCGTGATCTCCTCCGCTCTCCCAGTACTGTAGTTCAATTTTGCGCCATTCTGGGCTAGGTAGGCTGCAGTTGCCGCCCATGCGAAATCTGAAGCAGGGTATTAGCGAAAGTGCCTTCTCTCGATATCACCGGGAAAAAGGGTAGGCGAGAGCATACTCTGGGGGTTGAACGTAGCATCTACTTTTCGTCCATCGATAGGTGGCTCACCAAAGAGAAGTTTATCTTGAGCTGTGGCATAGGTTAGCTAGTTGTGTTTTTTTCTAGTACTATTCAAATAATATATGCTTGAAGAAACCTACCCAGAGCTACTAACAGGATTTCTGTGGCGGTATCTGCAAAAGATTAGCGACAAGTACCTACAATTGCGATTGGAATAAGTTGAATACCAGCTGGATCTCCTGGTATTTCGATGAAGTTGTTTGGATCTTCCCGGCCAACCACCGATATTGGGAGTACCATCACTATTGGTCAGATGAACGGTAGGTGGTGGGAGTTGTTTACTCAAGTCCTGAGATTTGCCCTCGTCGACGACGAGATGGACGATTTCGTGGAGGAAAGTGAGGGATTTGGGCTCGATGTCGCCGAGCCATGTTCCGACCCCTTTGGTTGTATCAAGGCTATCTTCGCCTCGCCAGCCATTTTGTGTGCATATTACCAGTATTTTATCTTTAGCAATCATGACTGAGGAAAATCCAGCTGCTTTCCTAGTTTTACAGTTTTGTGATATGTCATCTGAGTCGAAGCGATATCTCACCATATCAGCCGAGTAGTAAGGGTGCACCTAGAATGAGCAGTTAATGAATTATCGACATTTTAAGATGTCGTCAACTAGATATAAACTTACGTTCGCTTCGTAGGGGTCAGTTCAAGATCAATTAAGAAGGGATTAAGGCTGCCATGACGACGTACGTAAACTGAGTGCACCTCTGTAGACTTCTGCTATAGAAAGGTATGGGGTGATAAGATCCCCTTCGAGGATCTCTTTTCGCTTGTCATCGCCACCATCAGATCTTGGTCCAACTCGGTGAGTAAATTCATTTCTAGCTAGAACTATGGTCAAAGTTAGAGAGAACTTTACTTAAGGTTATTCTTACAATCGTCTGTTTCCTGTACCCTTTTGAGAAAAGTACTGTCGCAGAACAGATGAGGTGCATCCAGGGTAAATTGTGCTGAGTCCATGAATTTCGGACGCATGAGTTTCTGCATTGCAGCAAAGGTGTCTGGAGAAAATCAGCTCGGCTGGGTCGGAGAAAGGAACCACTGCTTACCTTTTACCCGTTTCAACATTTCTGCGCTCGCTGTATCTTTTGTTTCCGTCATTTCGTTATTCATCTGGATATTGAAAAATGAAAGTGCGAGCTTTCAAGTTTGATAATTGGTGCTGTATCTATTGAAGGCAGCTATCGCAGCATCCAAAATTGCTTGTGCTTCGTTAAAGGAATCAGACAGTTGGTCTTTAACGTCTGAACATCCGCCCTCTGTGTTTCCCTTTTTGATAAAGAATGCATTTTCGATCGGATCAACAGCACAAGAGCTTGAGGTAAAAATGGAAAGAGTAAAAAGGGAGAGAAAGATGAATTTATGTTTTAACTGCATTTTTTGGCTTTGAGGATTGAATAGTATGTTATCAGAATTAGATATGAAGCAGTGAGTTAGAAAATGAGAACTTGTTGGCTATTTAATAATGTCCTTTCAAAAGGAAAGGCAAGGCAGGTCACAACTATAAAGATCTATTTTTACTATATTTCCTTACTAAACAGATATCACTCTGTAAAGCGCCACAATGGTTGGTATCTTGGGACTTCTCATGTCAGTCGGTGAGAATCAGGGCAGGCATACATCGGAATCCTCGGATAACATTTGAGCCGGAGGGGAAGATACTGGCAGTGCTGCCAGCCTGGCGTAGTCAAATTAATTCGACATATCGTTCCACTGAGAAATATAGATACATTTTACGTATGCCAGTGAAGATGATTGGAGAGCATCCTCACCAACATCACATTACCAAATACTCCAAATATACACTGTGCTCGAATCCTTCAACCTAGCGGAGGGCCATGTTGGATAGCAGTGCCAGTTATTTGGTAAGCGAGAAATCGGTCGTCAGACGCCCATGTTGGTTGGTCAAATGGGGCATCTATTATGGTACTCATAGATTTGAAAAATTGGCTTTGCCACTTAGAATAGCACTCTGAAGCTTGCGCTCTATTTTTTCTTCCAAATGTGTTGTAAGAGAGGCGAGCATTACTCTGTACACACCAGAGTTATAAAAATACTATTCTAAAGACCTCACACAACTAAAACAATTATACGGGTAGTTTAGAACAATTGGTACTTTTCAATCCTTATTTTGCTAGATAAAATACGACAATTAAATTGCTTGTGCCAGAGTTTTGACATAATGACTTTTGATACTGTAGCGTGTACAGAGCAATGCTCGCCTGTCTTACACCTGAAAATACAGTCCTTTCATTATTTGCGCTTTAGGACTCGTTGGAATGATTGATTAGTGCTCAAAATATACGGAATAGGGCTCCCAAGTCCCACATTATCTAAGGCACTGTCAAAAGATCTTCGATTATGCTTATGTAAAGATTTCCGTACATCGTGGGGGCCAAAGACCAACATCCACACTGTTGGGTCTAACTCGTCCAATCAAGTTGAATATAAGATTTTACATACAGAAAGATACATCTATAAAGATTTCGTGCGGCCATCTCACATGTAGATAGGAGGCACATTAATGTTGTTGGTATCTATCAAAGAGTTGTTGGTAGCATGGTACCTAGTGCGGTAGCCCCAGAGGCTGATACGCTTAGAAACCCTTTGTTGGTACATTGTGGCGGTACAATAATACCAACCGTCACTAATTTACGTCAATTTGTGTATGATAGGGCTCTACAATTATAGGAACGAGGTGGGTTATCAACAGTCAACTACCTGGCTGGTTGGAGTATCTCCTACAAATAGATTTAAAGTAGTGACAATGGCAACGAGTCTTAGGCGTTTATTCCCAACTTGGCTACTATGCAAAGCGTGGAAGGATTGGTGAGAAATCCTTTCAGGCCATATAATGATGAAATAGTTCAATTGAGAGGACGAGCTCGAAATAGATAACAATCGGGAACTGATGATGCCGAAAGAGCAGAAGTCGCCACAGCACCCTGTCAAACACGTTCTAGCTACCCTCACTTACAGCCTTGCACTTCTATAAGACTGCAAAGTCTTTTTAAATTCTCTCAAGATCCATAGTTATTATTTCGAGCCCCCAATCTTTTTTTGCTTCACTTTTATCATACTCAAACAAGTCAGTTCACAGCACCTTCATAGAATCTATCAGAAAAATGGACTGGTGGGTTTTCTTAATCTCCGCCTTCGCTGGAGGGTGTTCAGCAAGACCACAGCAGGCTGGAAAAGGAATCAAAGCAATTGAGCCAACTGCTCCAGGACAAATTGGAATCAATCCCGCTGACTAGTAAGATGAAGCTTGAAAAGCTACCTCAAATCTTGTACTGACATAAATTGTAGCATTGGCACCAATACTCAGTACTTCACTGCAGAAGCCACAACAACAAGGTGGATTGGAGTCGATAGTGTAATCATCCCTACCATCACAATCACCTCGAACAATATCCCCTCCACAATTACAAAATCCGCGCAGGTCGCAGTGAGCACTGCTTCCGAGGCATCGGATGGAGTTGAGCCGGTGACCTGACAGTGATACTCACTCCCGCCCTGGAATCCAAGCTCACAAACTTCTTCGATGAGGTTCAAGCAGCTTGTGGTCTTGCTAAGCTTAACCCTCGGGCAGGAGCAGGTTGTTCAGGTGGGACGGCAAGATATATCGAAGAGAATTTAAGCGAAGAGATCGCAGCAGAAGTCAGGGAAGCTATTGGAAACACGGTTGCTGATGGTGCTGGAAACCTTGTTGAACTACTATTTGAAGGCAGTGCCTTACCAGCTTCAATTGCGGTAAACGGGGTAAATATAGGATTAGGCGCAGCGATTATTGCATTCGGATATCTGGGCTGGGTATCAAGCCATGATGGAAGTCTTGCACCAGTGAAAATACCAAAGAAGAAAATAAAGACAACGACACAGACATCAACAGCAAGTTCGACAGCAACTTCAACCTCGAGCAAGGTACCACTGGAGCCGGAGCCAACTTTGTCATTCTACAGTTATCCCGTTGGAGTCCCGTTCGATACATCTAGCGCTGCGGCCATGGCGACTGCTATTCAAGGACGATTTGAGGCCTTGGCTGCTATAGCCAATGCAGCGACGGTACTATGTACCTGTACCCAAATAGTCCATGCAGATGGGAGTAAAGGAGAACTAAAATGTCCAATACTCAATGGATGCGAGAATTGCAATGTGAGCTCCGTTTCCCAAGACTCAGCTGGAATCACTGACAAGATAACAGGTTATCTCATCCACGGAAGCAGCCCCCGCACCTACGGTAGCCCCTAGCCCGCCTAGTCCGCCAATTCTTCAGCCAAAGCCAGACCCTGTATCTCCAAATGCCTGTAACAAGGATCGCAAAGATAAACTGCCCGAGTATGTAGACTCAAGCACCTTCAATATCAAAGCGGCCAAGAAAGCAATCGGGCAGTTTTGCAATAAATTGACTTATTCATTCGAGAACAACCCATTGAAAACAAGACCTCAATGGCAGCTATACTACGTGGAGGGAGAAAACATCTCGGAAGCAGACCATAGATCCTTGGGTGATAGTGAGAGATTATACCTCGCGATGCTTCGCGATGCGATGGGACTTGGTCGATTGCACAAACAACGACTGGTGGTCTCCCCCAGATAACTCATCTCCAGCCGCAAAGCTTATTGCAGACAAAGAAAAGTCCATCGCGAGTTGCATCACTGGGTTTGAAGCTGGTTTCACGGGTTGTGAGTACAGATGAGCAAGCTTATGCAGCCAGGACAGTGCTAACATGTCCCTCACAGGTGAAGATAAGGATAAGAAGTACACTATGGGATCCAAAAATACTTACAAGTGTATGGAGTACCTTTCCATCCCATCATCAACCGGCAGCCTCATGATGCCTGATGGAAATGCCCCATGGTAGTAATGCAAGATCCCGAATCAGCATCTGATTGTCTGTTTATTCACGGCCTTCGTGTTAAGAAACGTCTTTATTATTGTTCAAGTTGTTAACGGTTTACGAAGCATTGTTCTATTCTTGCGCGATTTCTATAACCTGATTGGTCTGAGTCACAAAATTGAAAAGATTTTACCCGTGTAATCGAGAGAAGAAAGATATGGCAATATCTTGGAAGCTATCGACATTATCCCAGAACATTTGAGAGAGTGCGATAATGTGTGAAATGATAATGCGATATATATTCCTCTTAAAACTCCTCCTCGTATTTAGTGAAAACCAAATTGAGTTTCCCCGGTGCTGCAGTGACAAAGTCCTTCATATCTTTCCAGACTTCCGTTCCATTTTCTCCAGGAGGAAGACTAATGTCATATTTGGACACTAAAAGTGCCGTTACATAAGTCAGATTCTTCATTGCCCAGTCTTTTGCGACGCAGCTATAACGGCCTGTTCCTATGTTATTATCTATGCCTTTTTGAAGGGTTAATTTATTAATTAGGAGATCGAATATTTACCTTGTGAGAATGGTACCCATGCACGTTTATCTCTTACCATCCAGGGTTTGGTAGTCCATCGCTCTGGGATGAAATCGCGTGGCTGCTCGAAAGAACTTTCTACTGTATTGCGATTTTAGTTACTTCTCAGAATGGGAAGAATAATCTCGTTTGGACCATTGAATACTGAAGACATACATCTAGCTATGCAATAACGAGGTGTAACTATAGTGGTATTGGGAGGGATATAAGTCCCCTCGATTGTTACCCCTTTATTTGGCGAGATCCTGGGAAATACCGTCGGGGCAGGAGGAAATAGTCGTAAAGCTTCCATAATGAAGCTCGAAAGAATCGGCAATTGTTGTAATTCTGGGATGTTTTCAATCGATGAGATCGTTTTCAGTTCCGTTCGGATTTGTTGCTGGTAGATGGGGAGGGTGGCGAGGTAGTAGAATGTATAGATCAGGGCTGTGGCAGTGGTATCACTATCGAGACGTATAATGAGCCTTGATTGCGGTTTTGTAGAGATCAGAATAGAAATAATAGAAACGCACCTGCCAGCATGTATCAAAGCCACTGCATCATTCTCAAGATCGTGACGATCCTGTTCAAGTGTGTCGTTTTTTATAGAGCCTTCAATTAAATACGAAGAAATCTTGATAACAAGTCAGGATAAAGTCAGAATTTGCTGGTGTGGATGGGGCTTCACGTCTTTTTCTTTGACTTCGGTCTGAAGGTGTTAGCGGTTTCTTACTTCTCAATAATGCTTCGCCATCTACACACCTCAATCCTTTCCTTCATGATTTGCTTGCAATACAACACGAAGGCTTTCCAGTCGGTGGAGCAACCAGGGATTCCCAGCCCCAGGTTTATCAGCCATGTGGACTGATTCAAAGGCCCGAAAAAAGGCAAGAACTGGCGCAATCTTAAAATTGAGTCTGGCCAGTTTCCACCATTAAGCATATTGTAAGATTTTCCAAACGACAAATCACCCATAAGGTCAAAAGCATAGCATATGAAAAGATCGTTACAATTGACAGCCTGACCGTCCGCTGACTGGAGATACTGGTCCATGTGTTCCCCATGCCTTCTAAGCCGATTCTCAAAGCTCTTAAGTGCTAGGGCGACGATTAGCATGATCGAGCTACTTAGCTCTCAAGCGTCAAATTTATCCATGCCTGTATACATACCTTTAACACTAAATGCATAATTCCAAATGCGTCTTCTATTATCATGATGTCCTTGATCTCTCATACTGATGATATTTAGATCTGGGTGAAAAGCATCAGCCCAGTGTCCCCTTACGCAGGTATTTCCAGGTCCGTCGACAGCCTCAAGACCTGCAGCAGTAAAAACTGTGATTTCTGCCGGGCCTAGATCATCAAATTTAGCTTATTGGCGTTTAGTAGGAAGAAGTTTATAATATACCAGTTCGAACAAAAGTGCCATATTTCTTTTGTAGGCTTTCCAAGTAAACGTGATTTGTTCCGTCGCGAACTTTCCAGGAATGCCAAAGCTTGCTGACGCGACAGAGAAAAGGACCTGGGAATGAACGAGTTCGATGGAAGAAGACTCGATAAACGCTCATGGAAATGAAAAGTGCCCCGGCATATGCTGCGATGAATGCGAAAGAGTCTTGGAACGCTGGAATTATGGAGAAATCGTATAAGATCAATTCATGGAGATATTTGGTTGTGGCAAGTGCAGCGTAGATCAAGGCAAGAGTAGGGGCGCTTTTATGATGCGCCCCGTGGATGAAGTATCCCCAATGGGATGCGAAACCCGCTATTGCTGCACTGGTGATTTTGATTTTGTAGAGCGGCATTGTATTGAAAGTAATACTGATGGTTTGTAGAAGTTTAATATTCTGAAAATAAAGCTGGCTCAGCTGCCATTAGTAAAGCAAGACTACTTGTGGTAACGAGGTCACTACCATCCTCTCGGAAAGCTGACAGCCTCCGTATACTTGAGCTTTAAAAAACAGGTTTCTTTTTGACGGCTGGATCATCAGAGAGGGACCCATGATTGACACTTCAAGTACTACTAGAGAATGGCTAGATCCGAGGTCGTACAATTACGCAGCGACCATTGGAAGAACCAACCATTGGATAGGATAACAGCCCTAGGTCTCTTGTCAGAATGCCGAGGGTGAAACGTGTAGAAGAAAGTATCGAAATTCTGACCAGAAGTGGTGGAGGTAAGATTCGTGTACAGTACCACGATCCCCTTCAATCGGGACAGCTTGGTTCCGGATCGCGAGACATGGACCTTGAGATCAGGATATACAAAACTGACATGTCGAAATCCATTCATGTAATATGGTGATAGTATCCAGTTAGCCAGAGAACCTTGATGATTAAAGACCTTACTAAATTACGTAGCGTATTAAATGTCCAACTCCTCTACCGCTACACTTGCATTTATAAATACTCAGGGGGGAAGAATTAAAAAAATTCGTTATCACATTCCTGTGACACAAAGTGCCTAGGCTATTGTAGAACTTAGGTAGTCACATCCACTACTCAATGAGTTAAGTATAAATTACCTACTTACTTTCAACTCAACTCAACTCGAGCACCGCTCAGGTCTGATTGAGTAGTCAATTAGTTTGTGTATACGCCGTTTGCTACTGTCGTAATCTAATGTTGAGCATATTCTGGCATTCACTCCCATATGAAATTAGGTGGCGTACTATATTATATCATAGATCTATACTATAGATAGCTTCTTTTCTCCTTAGTAGTCTACAATATAATAATAAGCTATATTCGAGTTTTCCTAACGCGTATAACAAGTTATATGCCTAGGTTAGTGTGTGTGTGTGTGTGTGTGTGTGTCTATTTAACGTCTAGGCGGGCACGTACGCAAGTCACGTGCACTTCAGTCCCCGTTGGGGCAAAAGACGCCAGGGGGGGAGGCCCCTGGCTTCCTGTCTAGCTAGCTAGATTATATAAGAGTTT